TTGTACGTTGAAGTTAAACTTCCTTCAATCATAAGAAGTGTTTCTAATTAAACGACCACCACTGTATATAATATACGTAATATTAATTGACTTACAATTATATGGACGTCGGGTCCGCGCTAAAAAGTGTCCGCACTTGTAAGGCGCTAAAATCGTATACAGAGCCAAACTCCGCTTTAGTCTTCATTTGTTCGACTGACAGCGCGATACTTAGATATTCCAAAACCAAGTACCTACTTTGTGTTGTGTTCAAAAATATGTAGTAAGTAATGGATTTTTTTTAAAGTTTACTTTTATTTAAGAAAAAAGTAAACAACCAGTGATAAATATATATATTATAATATTTATCCATATAATTTTCGTAAAAATTATTACAAAGCATTTGCTTTTTTTATAATAACGTTTGTGATTTTATCATTATTATGTAACCACTTTTAAAAGTAGAGAATTTATTAGATTTTAGTCATTAGATTTTACTATTGAAATTGACACCAAACATAATTACCACGGATTTATATATTTCATAAACTGGATCGCGCACTTCGATATACCAATAATACAAACTTACATCTTATTGAGTTATGTTAAGGTTTATTTTAAATAAAAGTAAAAACCGAGCACGTGAGATAGCTCGAAGTTGTGGTCTGTCCTTGTCTAACAAAATGCCAAGGCTAAATAAAATCATCTTAGGTATGGTCTAGTGTATTAACTTTTTTCATTTTGGTCATTGACCTACCAACTTTTGGTTAAATAAAATAAGCTTAAAGGTAATATGCTTTTACTGTAATAATACAAAACAATATATATCAACAATGAAACCTTCTATTATGAAGTAGCATATCAAATAAGTATACTAATTTGAATTACGAAATAATATTAGTAGTTTTGGTCATCCAGAAGCGGCCACTTTTTCTGTAAAAATTAAAAAGTTAAAAACAATGTGGCTGGCTGAAATATGAATGAAAGAGACGCATTACTACTTTGAAGCCACTCACTCGGTTCGTTTTATTAACTTATTGTGCGGTTCAGTTTAATATACAAGGCCGTGATTACCCGTGTGAGTGTTGTCCGAGAATTTACAATAACCTTTTGTTGTATACATTTTAATGAAAATGAATTGTATAAATATTTACGAAAATAATATGGATACATACCATGAAATACCAAGAGTTTATATTTACCATTGATTGTAGTTTGTATACTTTTCTTTCAAATAAAGCACACCTTTAAAAAAAACTCGCGTCCTTTGACTAGTGCCCGAAATACCGCTCTCGACGCGATCGCACGAGTGGCGATGCGATGCACGACGCGAATAGTGAAGTGTCCGTTTACACCACAGACTATTAGATGCTAACGCATGTTTACACATGCGTGTCGTGCATCGCATCGCCTATCGCACGAATGTGTGAACGCGTTTCAACCTCTCGACACGATTGTTTCGACGAAACTATAGTGTAAAACTGTAAACGCGGTGTTACGTCCATGATTTTATTTATTAATAATTTTGGCTTGGATACAAGTCCTTTGAGTCATGCCTTCGTTTAATTATGTTTTTGTAAATATGGCCGCCACAAAGAGGATAGGCAATTTGAGGCGGCGTGTTTGAACGGGCCGATACGGGTATTTTAGTTCGAGATTCGTATAATTTCGCGTTTTAATCTTCGATTAAGGCACTATCCTATCCCACTTTGTACTAGATTTCACAAAATAATTGAAACTCAAAATAAAAACGACACTTTTCCCTCCAAAAGGCCCAGAGTGAATCTTCGTCCATGACAGAAGACAGAAGCAGACAGAATATCTTTTTTATTTAGAGTTTGGTCTTGGATACAAGTCATTTGAGCCATTGTGCTTCTACAACATTATGTTTTCACTAATTTCTCTTATATAACTTAGTTATCTTGTTTGGGCTTTCTAAATAGTCTCCATATTTCTGTTTTCACTTTTACTTCTATTTAAATCACACTATTGTCGCTTTGAACAAAAAATTTGAATCATAATTATTGGAATTTTCAGGACAAAATGTTTTGTAATTTGGTTTAAAATAAGGAATATAGTTCTAACTTTCTTTATCACTATTTCTTTCTTCGTATTTTCTTCATAATATACTTAAAATTAAATTAATCTTTGTAGAAACTGTACTTGTAATTGGAAAAGCCTACCATTTTCCCGACAGTAGACCTATGGGCGATATCACAATAGTGTTGGACCTACTGTTGAGTAGTTTTCTGAAAAATTTCAAATAGTGGCCGTAGCTCTCGTTTGTATGAGCTATATGCTATGAAAATATTATAATACTAATTCCAATTTTATAGAATATGTTAGAAATTATTCAAAAATATTTCAAAATGTATGTGTAGCTGCTAAGGTTAAGTTTCACAGCGACAAAATTAGACAATCGATAAATAAATCTAAAACTACTTGGAGCATAAGAAATAAAGAGTCAGGCAGGTTAAACACAATAGGGTATAGTTTTAGAATTAGACGGTAAACTTATAAAATCTAAAGACAAGGTAGCCCAAGCTTTTGAATCGTTCTTTTCGGAAATCGCTGTGAACACTACAGAATCATTAAATTCCTCCCCTTCTCTTGCTATTGATCTCCTAAAGGAAGATGTTGACGTTTGTGGCAGTTTATTTAATTTTCGTCATGTTAATCCACAAGACATTGTAAAAGCTTTTAAATCAATCCATGTTAAAAAAAACTGAAGATCTCTGAGACGTATGAACTAAAGTTATAGACTCAGTTATTGACTAGTTTCCCTACATTTAGCTGTTGCTTTCAATAGGTGCGTTGACGAAGGTGTTTTTTCCGATTTAATAAAATACAGTAAGGTTATTTCCTTATGCGAAAGCGGTAAGAAAGTTGATCCTGGCAACTACAGGCCCATTTCAATTTTACCAGCTTTAAGGAAAATATTCGAAAAGGTTATGCTGACTCAATTACTACTACTATTTCGGTAGGAATCATATTTTTCATAGTGAACAATACGGGTTTACTAATGATAGATCAACTAGCGATGGGGGAGTAGCGTTATTAAAACTCATCTTTGATGCTTGGGAAAGGTCCCAGAACGCTGTAGGTGTTTTCTGTGACCTCTTAAAGGCATTTGATTGCGTTGACCACATTACACTTATTAGGAAGCCGGAATATTACGATGTAAATGACAAGGCATTGGAACTTGTCTCGTAGTATCTCAACGGTAGAATTCAGAAAGTAGACATAAACGGAGTAACTTCTTTGAGTTCTCCGGTAAAAATGGATGTTCCGCAGGGCTCAATACTTGGACCTTTCTTATTTCTGATTTATGTTAATGATCTGCCATTCTTTGTTAAGGACCATTGCGAAATAGTTATGTTTGCGGACACATTCTTGATTTTTAAAACAGACAGAGATGACATTGACCATATTAATGATATCCTCTCTAAGGTAGTTTATTGGTTTAATGCTAAAAATTTACTGCTTAATACCAAGAAAACAAAATGTGTTAAACTTGAATTATCTAACATAAAATCGACTAGTCCAAGCATATAAATAGACGGAGAAAAGTTAGACCTTGTTAATAAAGCAGTCTTCTTGGAGTGACCTTACATAGTAAACTTCAATGGTTTCCACATATATCTTCCCTGGCCAGCAGATTAAGCTCCGTTCCATACGCGGTCCGCATTGCTAGAGTAGTTTGCTTTAGTTGCTTCCATAGTATAATGTCCTACGGGATTTTCAAGTGGGTAAAGCGGCAGATATTCAAACCATACTTGTATTGCAAAAACGAGCGATTTGTTCTATGTACCGTCTAGGCTCTCGGGTTACTCTCAGATAAAAGTTTTCCACCACGATTTCGTTTAACCAAGGAAACGACTCTTTATGGGAAACTGTATACGTTTTTACAATAAGATTCCGGAACACATTAAGATTATCATTTCTTAAGTTTAAAAACTACATTAAAAATATTTTGATTGAAAAGTCATATTTAGATAATGATGTATGGAAAGACGACATGGCTCCAGAATTTAAACAAATTTGATTCAAAGTGTAATCCATAGCATTTAAGTTTATTTGAAAAGAGCAATGCCTAGAGTTTGGGATCTTATATCTCTTATATCGCACATAAACACGATACGACGTCGCTTCGTGCTACGACGCGGCATCGTTTTACGATGCGACGTCGTATCGTGAATTTCGAAGTTTCACGCCGCATCGTGAAACGATGCCGCATCATAGCACAACGCGACGTCGTATCGTATTTATTTGTAAGAACCCTTTCTTGCTCGTTTTTCTCAGGGAAGTCAGCGTAGTGAACGAGCAGTAGCTTAAATATGACGTTTTCAAGTGTAAATTTGGTTTACCCATGGAATAAATGATTCTTTGACTTAGACTTTGAGTGGAAATTTTTCCGGAAAAAATTGCGTAAAGTTGGAAAATTTTGAAGACTTGAACATTGAAAGACTCACAATATTATGTTCTATGTTTAGAAATATCTTTTAGTTTTATTTAGCGTGAATTATAAACTCTATACTGTTTCGTATAGCTAAAAGTTACCTAACGAACGAAAAGGCGACAGAATGATTTCACAACAGCGAACAAAACCTCCAACAATCACACCACCACTTGTTGTTGGTTCCTTTGTTTTCGTCCAGTAACTTTTACTTTTGACAGGCGTCAACGTCATATATGGAAAATTATAGGAAAACTATTGGAAAAATATCCGGAAAAACATGATTTTTCAAAATGGATCTTTATCCATGTGGCAACACCTGTGTAGAATAATAATTGGTAACGAATTTCAGACAGTTTAGTTTACAAATTATGGTCACACTAACCAAATGACGTGACGTGCATGAGAAATCGGGAAATCGCTGAAAGAAAAGAAAGACGACGTACATTTTATCCGTTCTGCACAATTTTATGTCGTAAACTTAATTTAGAAATTAAGTTTTGTTCTCAGTTTTGGAAACAACGTGCTAAAAGGACATTTCGGAAATTTTGATGTTTTTTCTTTGGGCGAATTGTAAACAATGGCGAAAAGTAAAGTGACGGGTGCCACCAGTAGACTAAAACAAGACTATATTCGACTAAAAAATGATCCCGTACCATATGTGACTGCGGAACCAGTACCTTCCAACATCCTAGAATGGCATTACGTAGTAAAAGGACCAGAGAAAAGTCCATACGAAGGTGGTTTTTACCACGGCAAAATAATCTTCCCGAGAGAATTCCCTTTCAAGCCACCCTCAATCTATATGATTACTCCAAACGGAAGGTTCAAGACTAACACCAGACTGTGCCTTAGCATCACCGACTTTCACCCCGATACGTGGAACCCCGCGTGGTCAATCTCAACAATATTGACGGGATTACTTAGTTTCATGTTGGAAAAGACACCAACTTTAGGCTCCATTGAAACGTCTGACTACCAAAAACGGTGTTTGGCAGCGGAGTCCCTGGAGACGAATATTAAGAACAAAATGTTCTGTGAGTTGTTCCCAGATTATGTGGAGGAAATTGAGCTGCTGTTGAAGCAGCGGCAGGAGGCGATGTTGAGCGCGGACACCACGCAGCCGCCATGTGACAGTGAAGTGACGACTGAGCAGCAGTCTAATATGTATTATATTATGACAAACTTGTTTGTGCTGGTAGGCTTTGTATTCCTCGCTTATATGGTCAAATATGTTCTAGTCTCCATATCTAATGACTAGGCAGTGTGGTTTTAAACTTAATGTAAATAATGTAATTTATTTTGTAAATACTATTATTCCATTAGAGGCAAATTCTGAATCATTACAGCACTCATGTGGAAGCTGACAAAATTGAGATTGTTTGCAGTTAAGCTTGATGCTTATCAGGCACTACTTTATTCTATAGCAGTTAATTTATCTGTAATTCTTAAATTAGGCATATAGTCTAGTAACTTCTGTGATGGTTACCAAATGCCAGTAATATATATATATATATATAATGGGACACTTGAATAACTTAATTTTTTTAATTAATTTGTTTTGTAGAAAAATTTGATTTACTCTAAGCAAAGTTAAAACAATTTTCTTACTTTTTTCTTCCTGGTCTTATAGTGCTTTACTACACACTTGTGCAAACAATGAATATCCCAGAATCTATATTTATTACTTCTGTAATGCGTTTATTCTATTCTGAAATTTGATCTTGACTGTAGGTGCAATAGGAAGCTTAGACTTTTAGGCATTAAAAAAAGTAAATCTAATTATTAACAGCATTAAAAAATTATAAGTTTTAGACATTTGCCTCTAGACCTGCAGACGTACCTGATTTATTTTACTGCATGGGTCCTAATCATTATCAACTTAATGCAATTTGGCTAGCTAATTTCATTAACAAGTCAAAAATTTTCTCCGGTTTAAAATGTTGCATTACAGAAAAGTATGAATGATCATTATAAATAATAGAATATTTTAGACCGATATATTGGGAATATTTGACTGTATTGTAATGAATTTAGTTATACATATACTGTTGGCACCTAGTTAAATAGTCCATTGATATTATCAACATTGTAAATGTGATTTCAATGCAGAGTAAAGTCTTAGTATTTTTATATGATAACCTTGTTTCATTTAAGTTTCCTTGATAATAATCATCTAACTACACGATAACTAAAATTCTTGTAATTTTTTTCTATTTCCGGAAGGATAGACCACTGTTGTTATTAATTGAAAATGTAGGATATTGTAACCAGGAACAATGCAATAATAAACACAAGTTACTATTGTAAATGCTATTATATTTATTTTATTATGCTAATTACCTACGCTATAAACCCTTTCAATAAAATTTGGGCAGAGTTAACATAATGTGATTAACAAATTTTCTACTTGTAAATTACGATGAAATCTATACTGGATTGTGCTAAATTATAAATACAGCTGATGACTATAAATGTAATAAAATTTTGGGAATTTTATTTTTACACAATTTAATGCATTTAAAATCTTGGTCCATTGATAAAATTTATTTATGCAGTGATATTAACACTTTGTAATATAAAACTGCAATTTTACAACAAAAAGTATATTAGACTTACTGAATAAGCTAAAATTTTAAGCAATAATATTCCAACTAAGGAAATCTAGAATAAAGTTCATATCCTACATAATTCATTAGTTTTAATTTACCACACAGGACTAGTTAGCAAATATTATATAAGAAAACTAAGAGATAGTTTTCTAGATATATATATATAACTAGGTACATACATAAAACACGAACAAAGCAAAATTGATGTACAATTTAAGTACAAATTCTAAGTATTTACTAAATTCTTATACTGGAGGACACTGACACACTGATAATAGCCGAGTATACTTTATAAAATCATCTATTAGCTTTGATCTTTTGGCTCCTCTTCTGACTGGCCTTCATCCTCATCATCCCAGTCACTAACTAAATTTTTTATTTTGTCTTCTTTAGGCGGTCCAGAGCTATTTGCGCGGTCAACACTTGGCACAGGATCATTCACTTCAGTTATCTCCACAGGAGTTGAATCTTCCTCTTCACCACAATTTGCAGAATCATTCCCTTCAGAAACACTTTCCTCCCAATCATTAATTAGAGATGATATTTTCTCTTGAACTGGATGTGTATTTGCTCCTACTGAAGTAACTTGCTCATGCAAGCTAGTAATGTCTTCTTCATTTTGAGAGTTCACACCTTCCTCTGAATCAATTTCGGCTACGGCAGCTTCAGTCATTTGCTTTTCCATTTCCTGCTGAATGTTTTCTATTGATTCTTCAATTTCTACAGGTGATTCAACTGCTGTTTCTTTACTTACTTCACTAACTTTGACAGGATCTTCAGTTATTTGAGCTTCTTGCTCTGTGTCATCTTCGTCTTCAGACCATTCTGATGTTAAATGCTGGATCTGTTCTTTGGCCACACTTGGTATAGTGACTTCTTCATTGTGAATGGGAACACTCTGAATATGACCAGTTTGTTCATTTGTGTCAAATACCTTATCTGTATTGTCCGTATCTTTGATTTCCGCTATTACAGTATCATCCAAGTTAAGACTTTCTTCATTTATTTCCTCAGAATGTTCTTCAATTACTTCAACCCCTTGATCTATAATGTTAGCTTCTTGAATCAGTTGTTCTTCATTTGCTGCTGCAGTTACTACAATTGGGTTCTTGTCTGTTAGAGAATTATTAGAGTGTACTAGGCTTTTGTCTGCCACTGCTGAGTCATTCGGAACACTCTCAGAAGACATTTCAACTTCAATTGGAGTTGTGGAAATATTTTCCTCCTCTTCAACAACTTGTTGGACTGCGGGTGTATCTATGTTTTCATTACTGACACTGGAATCTTGAATTATGTTTTCTTCTAGAGTGGTTTCTTGAGGCACATTAGGTGTCAATGTGACTTCAGGAAGTTCATTTATTGCTGTAATTTCAGCTGGAGCCATTTCAGCATCTTCTATTATTGTCATTTCTTGTAAGTCACTTGTAGTAGTCATGTGTATCTGTTGATTTTGTTGGATATTGTTTTGCCACGCCTCTGTTACTGGGGCACTAATGACGTGAGCACTCATTACTGGAGTGGATGTACTAATACCGTCATAATTTGGCGTTATTACGGCAGAAGTTCGAACAAATTGTGCTCCTATATCTTGTGAAGTTATTATTTGGAACTGCTTATTCTGATCGTCCACAGGGTGACTGTATACAACAACTATGTTGGAATTATCTGTGGGTAATGCTTCAGACACATTTAAAGGATAAGTATCAGGGATAATCATCATATCATTTTGTTGTGCATTATCCAAATCTATAGATCCAGTATTTATTGCAGCATGTTGAGGTGTGCTTAGTACTGTCAAAGTCTTATTTGCATCGCCGTCATCGAATATAATAGAATGATTTGAATTCATTAATGCTTTATACTCTTCTTCACTTGACACTACTATTTGAATAGGTTGGTTTATATTAGCTTTTTTAATCACCACACTTTGTTCTTGTATATTATTCTCTTCAGTCTCTGATTCGTGAAGATTACTGAATCCCATTGAAGTGTTTGAAGCCAGATTTTGGTCTTCTTCAGAAGACATCATATCACTTATAACATATTGGTCACTTGTTTTTCTACGAACTAGCTTATTATCTTTCATGACATATTCATTGTTATCTATCATTATAATTTCTTCTGCTTGACTATTATCTACAGAAATAGCAGATTCAAGAAAATCTTCACTGATATTGGACATTATTTTAGATTTTGCTTTATGTGTTGTTTTTGGAGTATAACCAGAGTTGAGAATTTTCTGTTTAGTTGGAGGATTGATATGCATAGTATGCTGTTTCTTTGATATAAGCTGAATATTTCCGTCAGGTCTTATTTGGTACTGAGCATCTACACTTTCAGAGTCATCAAAAGAGGGAGGTTCAAATTTTATTGTTGGTTTGATTTCTATCTCTTGCTCTTGCTTTTCATCATCAGAATCATCAATTATTCCATCAGCTCTGGCTGCTGACTTATGATTTGTTTTAAGGTGAGCATAAAGATTAGCTTCACGCATGAACATTTTGAGACAATATATGCATTGCAAGTCCGTTCTTCTATCTGCAGTATATTTATGGCCAGTTTTCTGTATATGAGCTAGGAGATTGTTAGAGGTGTTGAAAGTAGCTAAACATACATTACAACGGAAATTCCTCACATCTGAATGAGTTAATTTGTGTTTTACAAGGTAACCTTCTGTAAGGGCAATATAGTTGCATAGATTACACTTAGGAAACTTGTATGAAGGTGGTGGTTCTACTCCATGCTTAGTGAGAAGATGATGTAGCAAATAATTCCTCTTTGCAGATTTGAGCCCACAATGTTCACAAATAGTTGGTACTGGCTTCTCATTATGCACGTCAACTAAATGACGCCGGAATTTGTAATATGTAGTAAAATGTAAAGCTTTTCCAGGTGTGCCACAAATTAGGCAAATCCAAGGTCCTTTTACATTTTCTGCACCTAAAGCAATTAGCCTTGCTGCCTCCTTTGAGTCCAAAACATCTGTTTCATAGGTATAATCTGCTGGCTCAGCAGTTTCTATTTTAATGTCTCTTCCTTTGTAATGGTGAATTGGTGAATTTCGTTGCTTTTTGTTGGTTTTTATTTGGGTCTTATTAGCAGGACTATTCAGTATTTTCAGTTTAATGTTTTTGTTACTTTTCACTAAATGTGGATATTTTTTGAGAACTTCGCTTATTATTTTTGCATGGTCAATATTGCTAGTCTGTTTACTGTCTTTAGTTTCTATAGTAATTTTTGGATTGTCTTGTTGCTCGATAATTTGATCAAATAGCTGATTTGTCACCTTAGGAATCTGGTTTTTAGTGTTCAACTGAAATATGGCTTCATCCATATCTTGCATTGCTTCAGAACTATCATCTTCAAATAGATTATCATTTCTTCGTATTTTCTTGCATTCAACAATATCCAGTGTAGATCCTCCTCTTATTTTCGAACTACTTGCTTCATTAAATAGACTAATCTTTTTAACATAGCGTTTTGTAGTCTCTGGATGTACCATTAAAGGTTGGGATGTATATGATAAACTAGTGAAAGAATTATCAAAGAGATTGTCCGAGTCTAGTTCTTCTGGTAATTCGTATCTGGTTGGTCTAGGTTCCCCTAGAATCACTTTAGGGGCTGCACTAGGAAGCGTAGTAGTTGTAGGTGAAGAATGTGCTGGATGACTTGTTAATCCATTATTAGTAGCTACGTCTGGTTTTGGGAGCGTAGGCTTTTTGACAGTTGTGATTGTACTAGTACCAAATGCTTTATGGAAAGGGCGTTTATTTGAATTGCCGCTTGATGACGCAGTAGTTGACTTTACCCTGGCAGTGGTTTTGGAATAAGAACGTTTGACAGATGTAGTACTGAAATTCAGTATGGACTTTGGTGGTGGAATTTGATTCCGATGAGCATCAAGAAGCTTGGTCAATACAGGCATATTCATAATTTGTGACGTTTGGTGGAGTCTTTCTAGTAAGTCTAGTCTGAACTCTAATTGACCAGTGTACATAAAATTCACAATAGGAACCACGACATCTGCTTGCAGATCGTCGGGCATCACTAGGCAATCCTCGTACATTTCGCATGTCCGTTCCAGGAGCTCAAAGTACTCAGTGCACGCACTCAAAACAAGTCTGTGTACCTTTAGTTGGGCATTGTCTTGAAATTGCAGCGTGAGGTCGCAGTAGTCCGTACGGTTAAAAAAGTGTTTCAATCTTTGTAGGAAATAAATTCCCCAGTTGTCAACTTTCACTTGCTTCACGTCAGACTCCGACATGGTGGCGGCTTCTAGTTCATGCTTTAGGTTATTCTAGTTTTTCGATTTCTGAAACAATCGATGCGTATTGCTTTAACGACTATCTAATGTTTTGTATACATATGTAAATAACAACGAGCATAAATGCGTAAAGCGGCACAACGATCGATCGCAAACGACTTGCAGTTTTTTGGTGAGATGTTTATAAAGTTTTGATTAATCGCTTAAATTTTGCGCCAAGTTTATAGTGTTTACTCTTGAAACTTACCAATAAAAGGTACAAGCACTAGTAGGTTTTTCAATCTTGCTAGCCCTCGAGACCTCGACACATCACAATCATAAAATTACTGCACTAAAAGCGGGCGAAGTTGATACAGCTTGCGAAAGATGGCGGTGTATGGTAACTCGACCCCATTTTGAGTGCGATGACGCTTGAGGAAACGTTTGGTTTAGTCAACTGATAAACTTTATAATATTTTATGTATTTTTATTAATTTTAAAAATTGACATTAGATATCAAAATAAAGTGTAAACTTGCAATAAAAGTGTTCGTGACTATAAATTGCGTATATTCTCAATTAACGTTTCTTGGGAACTAAAAGTACGTTCACGACCAAGCATTGATGTTTTGCAGCAGTGTCGCCATCTGCGTCAACACCCACACTATTGATTGGCGCGTACTCTAATTTTATGCTGCAGTAGCAGCGTGGGGAACAGCGCAAAGTTTGACACATACGTACACAATATTTCGAACGGTATTCCGCCTTTCTATTATTATTACCTAGTTATTATAGAAAAGGGCAATAGATGGCACTGTATGTACATTGATTTTTGGATTTGTTTTGCGAGATATAAAAGATTATATTTTTAGGGTTTTGGTTCGTAATTTATTCTTTGAAATTGATGCGTTATCAGTTATCACACATGGTAGATAATTGTACGGTGTATTAAAGTATAGATACTATAAAAGTGTTGTATTATGTACTAAACGGCACGACCTTAGAATAATATTCTAAGGGCACGACTATGTTTGTGTTTGGGCTGATAATATAATTTAACAATATAAATTATTATGGAAACAAATTGTTTGCGTGAATTAAATTTGTTATTTGCTAAATTTAATTACTTATAAATCCGATAAGAAGCTGAAATAAAGTTAGAATTTATGTTACAATAAAAATATAGTTTGAAACTTCAAGAATTTATGTTTTGTACTTACAAAAACACTATATTGAAGTTGTAGTAAGGCTTGATTTTGTTACTATTTAAATAAATAACATATTTTATATATAAAGTACACTTTGAGAGCTATATTCATGATTCTTTTAGGGTTCATTGCAATGGCAAAATGCTCGGAAATGTGCGCTATTCTTTTGAACAAAGAACAAGCAACGAGTCTGAATTTTGCTACACTAGGTACAGAAATCAAAATAAATTACCTTCCGGCTAAAAAAAGGCGGGTTTCTGAAGTTACAAGTACAGTTTTTACAAATATTATTTTTATTTTATCTATATTGTGAAGAAAATAAAGACGAAGAAAGAAATAGTGATGAAGAATGATAAAACTATACCTTATTTTAAATCCAATTACAAAAGACTTTATCCTGAAAATTCCACTAATTACAAATTAGAAGTTTGTGTTCAAAGTGACAATAATGTTATTTAGGTGAAAGTGAAAACATAAACATATATATTGACACTCGCCGCTTAAAAGACTATTTAAAAAACCCAAACAAGGGAACAAAGTTTAAGAAAAAGTGAAAATATATTGTATTAGAACCACAATGGAAAATATTTATTGAGGATTCTTTGATGATCCCCATAATTAAATGAAGACATGGCTCAAAGGACTTGTATCCAAGCCAAAACTGTTAATAATTACCCATCGAGTGTCCTTGAAAATTTATTTTTTCTCCCGGCCCGGGACTCGAACCTGGGACCACTGCGTGGCAGTCCGGCATGGTAACCGTTCGGCCATGGAGGCAGTTAATACAGAACGAACGACGTGACGAAAGTTACAATGGTTCCTTGTTGACTACGAAAACTTGTCAATCAGAGCATTTAATTGTTATATTATATTTGATTATGATTGCTAACTGGGAAAGAACTGGATACAGTAATTATCTAGCACCATATTGTTTGTTTATCTGAGGAACAAATATATAATAAAAATACTTGTAGCTGTAGAGGCACAGTACCTATTTAATATTTTTCCTATATATCCGAACTATCTATAAGTGAGCTCATTTTCTAGCTCTAAGCAGGGTTAAATTGTAGCAAGTTCGTTAACAATTTAGGCAATGGCAGAATTACATGTTATTTTTCTCGTCATGTAAAATTTTGTTCATTGTTTTAATTTAAAAAATTAAGTGCCGGTGGTTTGAAAAAAATTCAATAACATTGTTTGTATGGCACAACAATAGGAATATTAATGTTTCGTTCCTTCTTTTAAACAGGTGAAACAATGTCGACGCTGAAATCTATTTATCTATGTTGAGTGTGTCTGGCATTATTATAATTATTTTGATTTTTTAAATCGAAAATAAAACTGTTCGATTTTTCAATCTAATTTAAACACTACTTTTCACTGAATTATATAGAACAAAGTTTGGGCTGGATTACTTAAGCACCGCTCTATTTTTCTTTTTCTTCTATTTTTAATTTATATTCATACTAGTTGGTGCCCGCGACCTCGTTTGCGTAGAATACCTAAGTACCTACTTCGAGTAGCTTACTGTACTATTTACTTGAGTGTACTTGAGAAATGAGTGGTTTCCATCCAATTTTTCATCCCCTATTTCACCTCCTAAGATTTATTTTTGTGACAAAAAGTAGTATAAGTCCCTCTCCTATACGCCATCTATCTCGATACCTCCAATAAACACTATGCGAATTTAGTTTGTTTTTTGTTTATTTTTTCCCATAATTCGGGGAGCACAGTATTAGTAGGAATAAATATGGCTGTTTACAAAAATAACAGAAAAATACCAAAAAATGAAGCTGACATAATGTTCATTGGAGGTATAGTATATAAATCAAAATTCATCAAATTTGGTTGTGCGGTTTAGGCGTGAAAACATAACAGAGTTACTTTTGCATTATATTGGGTAGTTTGGATAAGTAGAGGACATAAAGGTAAAGATATTTACAAGCCTGTCATAGCACCCATTCCAATTGAACTCAAAATGAAATTAGAAACTAGCACAAAGTTTTATTAGCAGTAGAGATCCTTGTGAAAGAGATCGTCCAGGGAAGTACTGCCACCTATTTCTTACGCACAGTTACCTATTTCTGCCGCCAAGCAGTAATGTCAGCATTACTGTGTTCCGGTTTTGAAGGGTAAGGGTGCTGGTGAAATTACAGGCACATGGGATTTGCCAATTTATGTCTCATGGTGATGGGCGCAATGACAGTGCCCCCAGATCTTTGCGATCTAAAACTCTGAGTGACACTGCAACTGTTATGAACAGGCGTGACGCTTACCACAAGGCGCACGACTTGCTCGTTTCGCCATTTAGAATCTTAAAAAAAAAAAGTGGGTAACAAAATTTTTTTTGTTGTGTATGTTTTTGGTGATGGTTTGTGACTGTAGTTGCGTTTGTGTTATTTATTTTATGCGGAGGGAGGGTGGGATAATTACACTGCATGAAAAACATTCAACACAAGCGCAGCTATTTTGCACGATTTAACCTTCATTGGGTTCGCGGAGTAGCAAATTAATTTACTTCCGTTTTTATTAACATGGACTTTCGCAAAGTAACGCCTGAATCTATTAATTATTTTTGTTTGTTTGCTTTACCATTGCTATATCAGCTACAAACTATTGAAGTATTTCTACTGAATTGGCGCACCATTGGTAAGGCCACATCAGCAAAATGACAATTTACGAATGAAATTAGTCAATTTTTTTTTTGGCTTCTTCTTATCGTATGGATGGCATAGGTACACTACCCTAATTGTGGCTTAGAAGTCAGCCACGCCGACCGCGTCACCAGTAGCCGCCATTAAATCTTCAAGCGTGCAGGTGAATTACACCGCGCAAACACTCCAGTTTAAAACTGTCCCAACCTGAACTAATTATCCTTACTCCTACCAACCTGAGTCTAAAGTTAAGTCTAAGTAAAATCATTTTTATTTCATAGGTGATCAAATTACGCTTGAAATTATCGTATTGAATAAAACAGCATTTTGTCACTCAAGTGTGCAGAAGCTGTATAATATAACTTTTAGAATAAAGTTTTTGTTTCGCTATAAGTTTTAAACCTCGTAAATGGATTGCAATTATGTACGCAATGCAAATTTTTAATATAATCCGATAGAAGCGTATACATTGCGATTTAAATGAGTTTGTGACTGTGTGAAGACGACTGTCAAATATAGTTTATTTTTATTTCTCGTATTAATGATATATCTGTCACTCTCGTTCATAAAAAAAATACAATTCTTAACATAAACTATATTTTCATAAATGTATACTGTGACGCTAGTGTAAGAATATTAATCTCTTTAAACTTATACGTAGGGCGCACTATGAGTTTCCGGAACTAGCCACTTACATAAACAATATTTAAAAAGTAATTACAACATTTGAAAATGGAACTCTTTGGCTGTAGAATACAGTTTGCTTCATCTGGCTGTCACTTGTTTTTACGTTGTGGCGTCATTTTAGAAATTAGTTGTCTACATCACCATGGATGTAAGTTGTGAAAATTTTCGTAGTATGATCTTTTACGACTTTAAATGTAATTGAACAGTTCAGCGGAGCTTCGTTCGGCTTCAAACTGCTTTTGGCGATGAAGCACCATGCAAGACGACTATTTATAGCTGGTTTGCAGAATTCAAACGCGGTCGTGTGAATCTCAGCCCGTGGTGGCCTTGGTGGCCCGTCCACTGCTGTGAACAACAAAAACATCGATGCTGTGCGCCCTATGATCAAAACCGACAGGCATGTGACATACCATGAGATTCGGACATCTTTAGGCATAGGCATGAGTCAAACACAATCAATACTACACAAACATTTGCGTGTGAAAAAGCTGTGCTGTCGGTGGATTCCACACAATTTGACTGAGGCTCAAAAAACGGATCGCGTCACTAGGTGCAATGCCATGCATATAAGATTCAACGAAGGGGGGTCAAATTTGGTGTGGGACATAGTAACAGGTGACGAAACATGGATTTATAGTTTCGATCCCAAAACAAAGCAGCAATCGAGCGTATGGGGTTTTCGAGATGAGCCGAAACCAACTAAAGTGACGAGCGTGCAAAGTTCCTCTAAGCGGATGATTGCTTCTTTTTTTAATAAAACTGGAGACGTGGCTACTGTTGCTTTGGAGAATCGTTGTACCGTGATAGTGATTGTTACACGACCATTTGTTTCCCGGAAGTTATTGACAAATTCCGTAAAAATAACTATAAACGCCATATCATCTTGCACAACGATAATGCCAGTTCTCACATGGCCAGACAGACAAATGAATTTTTGAAGGTGAACAACGTTGACCTGATGAGTCATCCCGCGTACAGTCCCGACCTGGCACCTTGTGACTTTATTTATTTCCAAAAATTAAGAACCAGTTACGCGGTCAACGATTTTCATCACCTGAAGAGGCTGTTGAAGGGTATGAAACATATGTTTCAGAGATTGTCATGGACGAGTAGCATAAATGTTTTTAAAATTGGTTCACTCGTATGAAAAAGTGCATTAACGCTAACGGAGAATATTTTGAGAAACAATAAATTCATTTCTGACCATTTATAGTATTTTTCTTATTCATTCCGGAAACTTATAGTGCGCCCCACGTATCTCAAAAACACTCTTCGCACTCTAGACTTTTAGATCGGCCATGGCAATTCGTGTCCAAGAGGAAAACTCTCAGAAGGCTGACGAAGGTAGATCGTACTTTATCGAGCCAAAGTGATTTTATTCGATGATTCATTAAACTAAGAAGCCTTATTATCAGTGATCGAAGTACTTGAGTTTATTTTTATTTAACTTGAGTAGATTAAAAATTGACGATCCTTTCTATAGAGCAACAAATGTAAACGACATCGAGTATCGCCGAACAAGTCGCCGTATGTCGTGAGTGTTGTGGGTCGGTTTAGTAACAACTCTAGTGCACAAATAAATAAGGAAAACCTACAGCTTGACTAAGTAGTTCTAGAAGTTTTCTTTTTAATTCAACCAGTGTCTTAAGAAAACCTGCGCGTTGGAGAAAGACGCGCGTTGGAGAACCCTCTTCTCCAGCAGGACCCGAACGTTATCCCGCTGAGAAGAGGATTATTTTATGAGGAACCATTTTCTTTTGTTGCTAAAGTAGTTTGTTGTACTTTTTATTAAATTCAGTACATTTCAAATAGTTTTTGTTTGGTTTGAAAAAAACGAAAGGAGCCTGTTTATGGCGCATTTATTCGACACGAATTTCATCGCGCTCACTCCGCGCGGCCGCCGCGCGGTCGAAGAGCGGAGTCCGCGTTGCCGCCGCGCAGCGATCGCGTGCGTCTAAGGCTCAACTCATACTGGCGCAAAGTTGAAGCGTCGCCACGCGCTATGTTTTTCGCCTATAGTATATTCATCTCTATTTTCCCATTATTAAGGTACATATTTGTGTTATTCAAATATGGAAACCGGCGTCGACGCGCGGAGCCGCTGGACTGCATCCAAGCGTCGAAGCGCGTCGCCGCGCGTCACTTGCGCGCAGTGAGGCGTCAGACGCCGACCACACTGTGATCCGGGCGCACTAAAGCGAGCGTCGCCGCGCGTCACTTGAGCGCAGTGAGGCGTCAGACGCCGACCACACTGTAATCCGGGCGCACTAAAGCGAGCGTCGCCGCGCGTCACTTGAGCGCAGTGAGGCGTCAAACGCCGACCACACTGTGATCCGGGCGCACTAAAGCGAGTGTCGCCGCGCGTCACTTGAGCGCAGTGAGGCGTCAGACGCCGACCACACTGTGATCCGGGCGCAGTGAGGCTTCAGACGCCGACCACACTGTGATCCGGGCACACTAAAGCGAGCGTCGACGCGCGTCACCAAGCGTTGTAGTTGAAAAACAGGACGCGACGCGACGCTTACTCTCATCTTAAAAGTAACTCGTTCCCAGAAGTAGGAGGTAATTATGTAATCTTTTTCTTTATCAAGTTTTTTACGTATAAATACTTAAGTGTTAGGGAAATCCTATAAATAAACTTAAAAACAGTCTTATTCAGTTTACAATAAAGTTAGTTTTAGATTTATTTAGGTATGTCAATGATACTTAAGTTGTTAATTTTAGGTAGTAAGGCAAGGATTTGAAGGGCTATGTCTCTTTTATGGCTGTTTTACATTAAGAAAATTTATGCTGTATGATTTATGTTTAGAATTTTGGCTTCTTTGTTATGGTAAATGGTATTGAGTTAATTTTAAATATTATTTGTGTTAATCGATGTGCTATTCAGTGTGTGTGTGTGTGTGTGGTAGCTAGTGAGTCTCGGTTGATTGATATAGTAAAAGTGGCACTTGAAACGAAATTAATTTAGGGAGTCCACATATGTCATAGACATCATAGAGCCTGTGGGAGAAAACTGGCCATAAAAAATCCATCAACCGTGATAAAACTAATGATTTTAAAAATAGACGGTAATCTAAATCAAATCGAGTACATCTGTATATTTGTGAAGCGAAAATGATGTTCTAATGGCAAAAGTTTTTATTTATCCCCACTTTGATGCACTATAAAACGTTATAAGTTGCTCTTAGGTTTGCCCACTAAGCCGGCTGACCAGTTACTTCTTGACTATTCAAGAAAAGAAGCATGAGAAACTTTCTGATTTGCTGGTATAGCGACCCGCCCAGTTGATGCCCCGCCTACTCTAGCTGGGCGGTTGACGCCAACGCTCCAAGTTTTTAAGCCAGTAAGCATTCAACCTTCGAAAAGGACGCGTTGCCAGTATAATATTCGGTCATAATTTTAATTTTTTTTGTATAAAGTGCGATAAGCTTTTGACGAGGAGACTGTTCCTAAATGCAAGCTGAATCCAAGGTGAGAATATATTTTATTTCATTTATGAACATCGCAATATAAATAAAGTTTACACAATTGTGAGAAGTTATAAAGTTTTGTGTAACTTTTTGGTGATATCAAAAGAAGCAGCTTGTATATAGTTATTACAGTTTAGACTCTGTAAAATTATATTTATTATTTTTGGTGAAGAATATACGAATTTCTGTGTAGTAATGTTAATTTTTGACAAATAAAAATTATATTTTTGGGTATGTTCTGAGCTAAAACTAGTGATAATGAGAATTGTTTGTAACTATGTTTATCATGTACTAGTTATAATTGTTTCTAATGCAGAATATACTTTATTTCCTTTTGATAGGTTTCTATAATTTGCGTCGGATGCAATGGTTGGATGTTTTACCTAAGTCATATTTTTGCATTTTAGAATTACATTTTATTTTGTACTGTAAAAATATGTCCGTAAAAAAAGCTGTATCGATAAATAATTATACTTACCCTTAACAACTTGCATTATAAAAGCAAATTATATAACCAAAAACTTTAAAACTTTTCATCAATTTTTCAAAAAGTAGAGCAAAAAAGCGCGCCGTGGACAGAAGGGAGGCAAATGTTCAATTAAATTATTAAACGACAGCTGCGTCGTCGGCTACCTAAAGGTTTAGTCATGATGCTCTGAAGTGGGTTGTGGTTCGATTACATCTTCTCCAAAAAATACATCCATGTTATTATTTTAAGTATTACGACTATTTTGATTTTGACGACCTCCGTGGTCGAGTGGCTTACACACCGGTTTACATAGTGTCATCATCTCTGAGGTTCGGGTTCGATTATCGGCCTGCTCAATGTAGAAAACTAACTTTTCTGTATATATCGTGTCTGGGAGTTTTTGATACCGTCGTTGTTTCCGACTTCCTACAAGTGCTTTAGTTACTTACTTTAGGATCAGAACAACGTTTGTGACGTTGTCTAATATTTATTTATTTAGTATATCGTCTGCTTAAAGGTAAAACCACATAAGTAACATTTTTCACAAAAAAAAACTCAAAATTATGTACCATTTGTAAGAAATTCACCATCTTTCTGAAGATAAAACTCATATTAAAAGTGAAGCTACTTCATTTTCCTTTTACAAAGGTTTCAATATTTTTTGTTCGACTGTCATAATAGCTCTCTTCTCATAAATATACAATAACCTGTCCTCGCAATGTCCTCCGTGGTTGGAACACTCTTTGCAGTGATTTTCGTACTTTTTTCAATTACTTAGGGAGATAAATACACCTTCTCTCACCTTCATTCTTTCAAATAATCAATAGCTTAGATGAACCTGCGCCATTGAGTCATCTTCAAATCATGTATCACTAAATGATTACCTACTTGCTTGATTCTTGAACGAAAATATCGTGATGAAACCTGATCGTTCGCTTGGAGAGGTCGAAAATGCTTTGAGAAGAACAAAGAATTAAATAGTACCTAAGCAGTTGCTACAAGACTTATGGAAAAAAATTACTACCAGCCATCTTTTATTTTCATATTTTTTAGTATTTACGTATTTTAATTGTGAAATATGATTGGGCTGGACACGTCTGTCGCATGCATCCAGAGAGATAAGCTTACACAGCCGCTTGGTGCGTGCCGGAGAACGGCCAGCGACGACGAGGCCGACTAAGAAGGTGGGATGACTTGGACGCGTATATCAGGGACTGACCTGATATTGCGTCTTACCGAAAGTCGAGAGGAGAGGCATTTGCCCAGTGGAACACGACAGGCTAATTAAAAAAGTCAAGTACAAATGAGGAAACCTGCTTTGAACCAGTTTACTTTGGTCTGAATCCTGGCCTGAGATGAGTCCTGTGTCCGGTAGTTTTTTTTCTGTGATACTAAGTGATGGGACGAACAAGTCGTGCGCCTGATGGTAAACGACACGCCTGTCCATAACACTTGCAGTGACACTTTAAAACGCAAAGATTTGACTGAAGTGCACTGCCTCTGCGCCCATTACCTTGAGACATAACTTGACAAGTCCCATGTGCCTGTAATTTCATCAGCACCCTTACCGTTCAAACCCGGAACGCAGTAATGCGAACATTACTGCTTGGCGGCAGAAATAGGTAAGGTGGCAGTACTTCACTGGACGAATTCTTTCACAAGGAGCTCTACTCATATACATATATATGGCTGGTACATATATGGCTGGTACATATATGGCTAGATGATTATTTACCATGGTGTTCTTCTTCTTTTGCTGTCGATACTTCTTTTCTTCTCTTCTTTTCTTTTCTTTTCTTTGTTTTAAGACTATAATTGCCTTTGAATAGTAGACCCGTACATTTTATAAGTAAGTATAAAAATTCTCCAGAGTGTTAATAATAACAAAAGATAAAAATTAGATCACCGGCGGTATGCAAATGAGTTGAAATGCTAATTTCCGTGGGAGAGCGCGTCAAACTTTTTAATCTCATGTGACGTCATCCCCCGCCTGGCACTGTTGTCACAGGGATGATTGAAAGCGGCTCATTTGTATTTTTATTACTTTTTAATTTTTTCCATTTTCTCGAGTGCTCGCAACTTTTCGTAAATTTTAGTAATGATGGTGTTTGTTTTCTTTGAAAAGATGTTTGGATACGTCGTCTTTGTCCTGCATTTGGAACGCGTACTTAACTCACTTGTAATATAGAGTTGTATATTATAGGTAAACTATATATGGTAATAAAAATAATGAATTAAATTATTAGACAACATCACGTACGTTGCTCTAATTCTAAAGTGAGTAAGTAAGTAAGTGCTTTACTAGCACTTGTGTTATGGAAATCGGAAACAACGAAAACGGAAGACTCTCTATATAGGAACTTCGTACTCTGTAGATGACGTAAAACTCTTAAAATTTGTTTTTATATTTACTATTTCAATAGTTTTCTTGTATTGTATCATATTTCATTTATAGTTAGTTACATGAAAGCTCCCTACATTTGCGTACGACACGGTCATTGATGTGTCAATCAATGTAACGTTATACCCTACAGATGTACTTGTAGGTACATCTCCATTGTTTGACGATACTGTTGCATGGAAGTTGCATATAGCATTGTTTGTTTGTTGGGTCGTGATAATGAAAAGGGTTCGTCATCATGTAGGATAGGTTATCATGTGTCAGTTTTAATTGTTTCTTTGGCAAAATAGAGCTTATTTCCTTACGATAGGTTTAGTGTTACTTTTTTAGGATTTTTTAATATGTCCCTATTATAGATTTTTCAATTCGTAAAAAATATGTCCATAAGAAAATCAGTACTGATTAATAATCAATTTCCTAGTGGTACTCTTAACAAATTATACTGTAGTACTAAATTATACATAAAATCTATCGATCAATGAAGAATGTTGAATTCATATAATTTAAAAGTCCTAATTTTACTTTCTAGTATTTAAGCTTTTATTGTCTTTTTTACCTTACCTGTATATTATCAAAAAAGAAATAATTTCGATTTAAATCGAAAAAAAAAGAAAGTTGATGGTTTTCGAGTGTATACAAAAATATATAATTTAAAGTGACTATTTTAGAATTTCACTTTGACGCGAGGCTGATTGCTTCGTAGTCTTCAAATGTAGAGTTTACTTTAATGTTTGTTTTTTGTATGTTTAAGATGTTTCATTAATGATGATGATAAAGATGATGAATTTTTTTATACATTTTTTGAGAATATTATTTGTAAGAAACGAAACCATTTTTTTCTTATATAAATCACATAATTTGTTTTTTTGTAAACAAACCAACCTCTTGACCTTTTATTGGTCCCATGATCATGGCTGACACAATTTTAATGTAATTTGTAATTCGAAATCGCCTGCCCGTATATGGTTCGAGTTTATTGTTATACAATGTACAAAAACAAGGAATGATTATGAAACCTTTCGTGGTGTGACATTTTTGTCGCCTCACCATTTGCGACATGCCGAATTTTTGTCACGGTGCGCAATTATAGCCCACAAATATAGGGCGGCGGCATTTACGGATTGTACCCCTCGGTGTCGATTGCGTATTTGCGGTTTTACTTGTGTTGATTTTGGATAGAGATTAACAGAACAAATTCAGATAGGGGCTAAGTTTGATAATGATAGTCTTTGTTCGCTTTCAAATCTTACGCCATATCATACTTTTTTGTTTATTCATTATATGTATATCTAACTAGCTTTGGTTTAGTATTGCTTAACCTTGAAGGAAATACAATACCTAGTATCTTACGACTTTTTTTATTCTTTATTTATTTATTGAGCATTGGCTATAGAGCCATCAGTTTAAAAGGGTAACAAGTAATTAAGAAACTTAAAGCGTAATACACTTAAGTAAAAAATTAATTCGTGTAAAAACTATAACTATAAAAACCCGCTATGTTTTCATACTCAAAGACTTCTAGAACATAGATATAGTTGTTATATATATAGTTATATATACATAGATATAACATAGATATAGTTTTTTTAATGAGGTTCTTCTCTTAGAGGATGAAAAAAAAAGGAATAGTCTAATAAGTGTTCTTGAACCGGATGGACCTAGCGACATTTTATTCTACAACAAAACAAATTATAATTTGTAACAAAGTATTTAAAACGTTAGTGTGCAAAGGCGAGCTTATCCCATGGGATTTCTTGCAATCAACATTTAATGTGTGTGATTTCAGTGGGTTTTTTGTTCATTTCGTCATAATAGAATTGGTCAATGATTACATGCCTTGTCTTTAGTATTCGTGTTGTGGTAACATACCAATAGGAATGCTCTACCTCACTGCTAGTAGGTATTTGTTTAATGTTCCGTCAAACATATCATTTTGGATGAATAACAGTAGAGTCTATTTTTTATTTTAATAACTAAAAAAATGGTGTCATTTCACAAATATAAAATTACTTACTTCTTTTTATATTTGTCCAAAACTATAGCACCCATCACCCCCGTCGACATTTAATATGAGGTTACGAACTAATATCCTCACAAAGGGGTTCATAACTCACCCCCGCTTTTTACTACT